GATTTTGAGCTGTTGGGTCGGATCCACGCAAGTGAATGTGATACCATGTTTGATTAGCCCAGCTGATAGCGTAAGGCGTCCTTTAGACAGCCTCAATGTTGCGTCAGTAAGTCGGCCGCAATCGGCTGAATTGACCAACTGCACATGCCAAGTTTGGACGTGTGCGTGTCGCGAGATACACGAGCACTACTCATCGTATTGAGCAGGATGTGGCCATCATAAAGCAGAACCAGCACAATCGTGCCATTCGTACCAGTATTGTCGGTAAATTACGGTACACTTGCGCATATCTGATACCCGCATGTTGTCATTCATATATCGAATATGTCATTCCATTCACGCTCATCTCGGCGGAGCCCGTAAAACGCTTTCGTAGTCCATAGACACGATCTGTACGCTTGCATATGCGCCATGAGTGGAGCACGAATATTTCAAACTGTTATAGTGGTATAAATGTAGGCTATATCACGACGTCTCCATACCACCGAGCCCGCGCTTCACGACCGGGAAGAATAGCTAGTAGAAACCTTGTCACGCGAGCCATTGGGGGGAAGGTTTCAGCAAAGTCCACTCCGGTCTTGCCATCATCCGAATGCCATGAGACGTGTTTAGAATCGAAATATATACACGTAATGGTCCAATTTTAATATTGTATACTCACATCGTCTAGCTTGACTTCGTGTCGTGTGGAAGCTGAGCTGTACAAATTTATACAAGTACTTACTCGATCGTCTTTGAGTCCAGTTATTTGTACTAGAGCATTCCCCTTGATACATGGACTTCTAGCATTCAGATCATCTACAAATGCGAAGTAGGTTAGCGTCACTAGCACGCATGGCCTTTCCATCATTGTGCAGTAACCCTGTATGCGTCGTATTCACAAAAAGATCCATCTATCGACTAGCTTTTATCGGTCCGACTCTTCTCTAAGACTTTCGCAACTGATGTGCTTCTTCGGATGTACTTCCGCTACTGTCGATGTTCCATATCTACAATTGTGTCATCAATATGCCGCGCCTGATTAACGCTACTTCTCGATCGAATTTCGATGTGATAGGAAGGCTGAGTTGACGAAGAGAGGTTTCGAATAGACATCATTTCATCACTTTCAGCCACAACCAAAAGTCCTGTAAATTAATTGACCTGAATCATTACGTTCGACGTGAGCAGGTATGCTATCACTGTATACGAGATCGCCACAACTAGACGCACGCTCACTCATAATTTTATTGCTCGCCGCAACCACATGTAGCCCCGTCATTCTTTTCCGCTCAGATAAAGGTTGACATCCAATTATACTCATCTGGATGAATTATGGATATAGTTAAGATTTGCAATAACTGTAACAATAGTTGCATCGTTGAGTACCGATGCACCGACCATTCTCTGCATGGTCTTCTACGATTGTCGCAGATGGTTGAAGTTTATAAGATAAGTTGTATCTGGACTATCGCGACTCTCGTTATCAAGAGAAAAGCGACGACGTGCGAGCTATATGGATATTGGCTACAGCTATGAGGATCCTAGACGAGTATCGATCCCTCGATCTTGACATCAGGAGACCTTGTTTGCGAGCGTTTTCATGTGTACTGTAAAACTTTATCCCATATTGTCTGTACTTATCCCTGAAAGAAACGGTTATCTGTATTGCCCTTATCCCCAGGCCGGTCAGCGTCGTGTGGCACGAGCACGTAAGCAGATGATCCAATGCTCGAATATGGTAAATGCACGGCTTGATACGAGACATGCATTCATGCGCTCGCATTTTCGATTCAGTCAGAGCACACTTGCAATCTTACGACAAAGCAAAGGCTAATCATTGATGTGACAAGCCCTAGTCTCTTGCTTGCCTCCCCGTTCAGCCGCTGCCTGAACGTTGCTCGGGGTAAGGCAACGATTGGCAATTTTACTTGCCCTTACTCCATTGTCGTGCGGAAGTCCTTCATTCGGCTTATCCTTCGTCGCCGCCTTTCAAGTCTCGTACCTCAATCTTGCTGTGCGAATACGCTCCGCTGATTTTGTTGATATCTTTTGCAGGCACATTGCATCACCAATTTTGTGTATGCATCAGCGCAAACGCCTGCATCGTGCTCGGCAAACTCAAAGGATGCGTGTTATCGTCGCGGGAATGAAGTTTGTGTGCATGTTTGCAAGACTCTAGTTCTTTCTTCCTTTGTCTCTATCATTCGCAGATGAACGTCGGCGTCGTCGATATGATTATAGCGCATATGAAGGAGATCTTCTTACATGCGTTCTACGGCATGACTATTGAAACGATGTTTGGCAGATCGTCAGACCGCTTGCACAGTGCCGTATATGACACACTACCAGTTGGCGTCATCCTATGGTGCCCATATAGCTCAGGCGAAAGCGACACCTCTATCTCTCGCCAAAAGACGTCTCTCAGGCCTTACTAGCTGAAGCTCTCCCTCACCGGTCGATACTTGTGATCGATGCGGCCGCGCGCGACATCCTATATATTGCGGTCGATGTCCTAGAGGACCTACGTGGCCACCTCCTGATACGCATGCCAATCCTTTTTAACAGCATCCCACACTGCAGAGGATAGCCAATTGTATGCGTTGTAACTAAGACGACGAACACCGACAAGAACATGGAGCAAGATAAAGAACAAGGAGCAAGGAACGAAAAAGCAGGGATTTTTATCGTTACACCAACTTTATTTTTTCTCAGTGTTGTGGATGAAATGTAAACACAGGAAGGGACGTTGTAACACATAACTTGCGCGATTTATTTTGATCGTAAATATACATGAGTTTTTTTACCTAATTTTGTGGCTTATTTGTTAGTCTCATTTATCTTTTTTGATGTAGCTATTATCGCAAAAACCCGTGACTAACAGATGTCAGTACAATCTTGTTGCTGCGTCGGTTTCTAAACTGCGGGCTGACATCGAGATAGTTTGCTACAAAAGAACGCATGCTCGACATGCACACACATTGCGTCTGTTCATCCAAAACTGCTTCCGCTCCGCGAATCGTCCGTGTGGCTCACAAAGGACGTAGCGTGGACAACTTACGCATTGACCGATGAAAGTGGCATCTTTTGATACATGTGACCTGACAAACGTCTCTGTGCTAACCGATTGATCGATCACTTTTCGCTTTTCTCAAGGCTCGATCGAACGGCAGTAATCGATCGGCACGCACATCATAGTCATCCCTTCGCTCACACATATGGCCTGACTAAGATACTCGGCTGCATCGCTGACCCGTGTCTCCTAAATCAATATCTCTGCGCGAGCGCCCCTCACACACAGTCTCAGTCGGCGATGCGACCTCGATCGACATCGACACACCCGCTCTCCCCCACCACGCAATGCCATATGACCTGCTTGCCCGATCACGAAACGAATCTGCGTGTGTTAAGACACCTGCTAAGCAAAATCGCTTCCATGGAGACGCCCTTCAGCCGTACTACGTAGCTCACCGTATAGAGAACCACGCATGACAAACTTGTGCATAGGCTTCGGCCGTGGCGACGCTACTGTACGGGAGCGCCAGAAAGTCGGCGGCCGGTGGTTACGTGCACCACTTTTCAGCGCTGATCGTCCCTTTATCGTGCAGGCGAGGAAGGACGTGCGCAAGACTACGACGTGTTCGGGACGTTACAGTTACGACACCGCGACCGCTGCCAGTGTCGGGGATTGATTACATCGTTCAGGTTGAAACGGGTGGGTATTTGCTATGCCCGGCGTACAGCCTCGATCTGTGCAGGCGATCTGCGCACGCCGTCGCAATCGAAGCGACGTGATGATGGCAACTTGCAGTTCACACCGCAAGTAATGGCACTCGATTCCACTCTGAGACCAGACATGCTGGTGTGCAAAACACTCTCGGGCTCTTTCTGTTACAGCTCTCGCTTGTCTAGTTGCGAGAGCATGAGCAGGACCCGATCCTTCCTATGCCGACGCCATCTGGCTGAGGACTCTCGTTGCAAAGTCAGCACTTGGAACCGTTGCAAGACGGCCAGTCGTTGTTTTTCTATGCTCGATAGTCGACCAGCGACGCGTCAAGTCGCCATGCGTTGATGGAATCCGTCGCTGCTGCAAAAGTCTGTGCTACTCGTGCAGATGTTGTTGTTAACGTCCCATCGCGTGTCGTACATGGCAGACAATCACATGGCGACTCACGAAACGGCTGCACCTTCGCCGCTTCTTTTGGACATCGAAGGCTGGCGATGCAGCGAAGACCGTCGGACGAACTGCGACTGGGGCGCGCGTGTGTCGAGGTATCGCATATTTGGCGCAAACACAGCTCGTAATCAGCGTCAACATTCGGGTACTTGAAACGCAATGACGGCCGTGGCTTTGACGCCGGTATCAAATCATACAGGCAACATGTGAGCATGTGGTAGGCAACGCGTCCGACCGGTCGTGAGCTTCGAAACATAATCATTGCGGCGTTACTTGTCTGCGACACGCCCTCCGTGAAGTCTCCAGCCTCGAAACTTATCCCCTCCTACTGGGCGCCACCTTGTAGCGGCATTGACGCGGACATCCGCTTCAGTTTACACTACAAGTCGGTCGCTGGACGGCAGAGGCAAAAAACAGTAACATTCGAGCCAGCGATCGGCTTCACGCAGCGTCGCGGCCATCCGATCGCGAGAGAAAAAGCGATTTTTATCGGACAGTCGATTCTTTACTGGCTTTCGCTCTCCTCAGCTGGCAGCACAGGTCCGGTCCGTCTGCCATCTGTCTGCGATCGTACACGCCTCGATGTCCATCGATCCGTCTCGTCGATTCGCACTTGACGTCGCCCTCAGTCGTGTCGCAGGAACCCGCTCGCGAGGCCAAACTGCGCTTTTTTTGCGGATTCTGCGGGTGTCCCACCGCCCGCGTCTGCCAAGTCGGACGTCGGCAGCGATCGATCAGTTTGTAATTTGCCTTCTACAAAACAGTCCGTCCGTCCGCCCGCCCGCAGTCTGTCTGTCTGTCAGCGGTCCCTCACCATTACTCGACTCGATCCACTTTGTCCCTCATGACGTTCGAAAGTACTGTTGAAATCACACGCGGCAGCGTCGAGACGAAACATGGCGCACCGCCTTCGGCGTCGCCCGTGACGGACTCGACACTGGCGCCGACGTTTTCGATTCCTGCGCCCATTGCGACTGTCCGCGCCAACGTCCAGGCGTTCGAAGCCGACAGTATGCACAAACTGCTGCAGCGCTACGACGGCGTCGACGTGCTGCCGAGTGGCTGGCGACAGGGTCCACAGAACAAGGGCATTCAGGTGGTCTACGGGGAGGTCCAGGGCAGTGAGTGGTACACGATGAAGACGACGGGCATGCTCCAGGTCAGCGCTTCGAAAGCTGCTGCTATCCTCATGCACTGCGACATGGTGCCCAAGTTCGACGACATGACCAAGGAAGTCAAGGCGCTCGAGACGCTCAGCGACGTGTCGGAAGTCCGGCACGTGACTGCCAAGTCGGTCATGTTCACCACCGCGCGTGACTTCTCCGTCGTGTCTACGTTCCGCGAAGAAGCGAGCGGTCGGCTGCTCATTGCCACACGTTCCGTCGAGCACGTGCCGGCGCGCAAGGGCTACGTGCGCGCGACCATTCACATCTCTGGCTACGTCGTGACGCCGCACGCAACGGACGCCAACATGTGTGAGCTCAGCGTGATTGCCCACATGGACCTGGGCGGCAACTTGCCAGCAATGGTCGTGCGCTACCTCGGTCTGTCGGCCCCGATCAAGCTCATTGAAAAGATCCGCGATGTCACGGCGGCACAGCAGCAGGCGTAGACACTTTATCCGTCGCTAGCGCCTCGTGCATTGCATGCAGTCTAAAAGTATGTATTAGTAGAAAACATTGAGCCAATTCGTTCGCTTCTCTTCTTCGTCTTCGTTTGCAGTCATTGCTTCGTTTCGACCGTCGTCGGCGCTAGCGAAGACAACAGACGGCGATGCTCTATGATAGTAAGCGTGGACGCTGATCAGCGATCGACAAGGAACTGAAGTGGCCATAATCATTCGCTGCTGTAGTTTTCGTTACCGCATACACAGCTTTTGAGCCGGTAGATCCCTAGTACGACCCTCCGAGCTTCAAGTGCAGACTTTCCATTATGATGCGAGCCTGTTTCTGGTCGACGATAACGGTCGACGGCGTAAAGCCGCGTTACGAGCCACGCGCGTTCGTTGGCTGAGCTCGTCATGCGGTCGAAAAGTTGCTGCCTTCACCTGATTACGGTAGTCGCTCGTAAGCATTTTGGCTCGTCCTCTATGTCGGTATATTCGAAGCGATATGTCAATGATCGATATGGACCGATTCATGTACCTGCTGTGGGCTGTTCATGTTCGCCTGTTGCCGTCTTTGTGAGTCGAAAGCACTGACCAGTTAGAAACGGACATACGTGCAGAACCAACTTGATGGATGCGGTGTTGCTCGATGGCAGTATGACGTTTCTGAGGTTTCAGGTTCTATTTCTAAACGACATTTGTACGACTAATTTCGTCCTGGAAACAGTGATGGGGTACGCAGGTTGTACGCAACAACTCGCGAAGAACGTTGTAAGATACATGGAAAAGTGCCTTTCAAAAGATGTTATAGAATAAAAACTGGTCGCAAAATGAGAGAAATTGATGCTGAAAGTGCGGAACACGCTAATATGACTGGAAACATGTGCTTCCCTCCAATCAGTAAGTAAGTCGTCTACCCGCGACGTTAAAAATGGCCGCACCCCGATGATCTGGATGAGCGGATAATGCAGATGCAATGTCCTCGATATGCTCGTTATCTCATGATCCAAAGAAGTCTGAAACGCAAACGCAGAGCGTCTTAGGTTATGCCATGCCCGACTCAAAATCAAGCTTGCAGCGACATGACGAATCACTCTGGGCATTTCTAGGAACTGCTGTCTGCTGTGGCTACAGCACCAGGAAGCCCGTGATCCAGAAACGATCCGAGCTTGTGTAGGTCTCAGTCAGCAATGTCAATATCGATGTGAACGAAGCAACAAAACTCGGGTCGATGAATATAAGGGTCGACGCGGTCGTGAGGGATCATATCGATAATTGGTGTTTACCACGCTCAAGTAGGAGACAACAGCAAGCATGACTTCATGTGGTGACACAGACCTTTTGCCGAGTAGGTAACTTGCCGCGCTGCTTGATACAGTATGTATCTCAATAAATTTGCCGGATCCCAGTGTCACGTGCATATACATTGCACTGCATAGTCACTAAAACCCCGTCGATGCAATCGCTCCTCAGTCGGGCTCCCATTATTCCACGAATGACTTTTTTTATACGTACAATAAACGCTTCGTTCGTTGTACCTACTAGTTCTGTCTGCTTATCAGAACTACTGGTAAGTCAAACAAGAACAGATTCTGCCACAAATCAATGGCAGATTGGACTGAAAGACGCGCTAGGTTGAGTCCTGCGCAATGCTCTCCAAGAATCACACCTGGATCATTTCCGCTGTTGGAAACACAGTGAAGCACATCTTGCGATGATATAGCAGCTGTACCACCATTTGCGGCACGCAAACACTACACAGCTACTGTCAAGCACTGATCAAAACGATCGAGACCCTCCACATACTGTCTCATTACACTGGTAAGTGCCCCTGACACATTCCAGCGGCATAGACGTCAGCTCGACTGGTAGAGAGCTCATTCTTTCAGCCACGACGAAATGCATCACTTGCCTTGGATGGCAAGATGAAGATGTGAGGCAAATTATCGATGGCATATCGTTAGCTTCTACTTTGTGGTGTTTGTGTGGGGGGAGCAAAGGCGGATCGACAGGACTACAAATGTTCAGCATTGACATAATGGCCATTTCTCATGTTTACACATGAATTCATTCATCGCCAAATGAACCAAATTCCCCTACGTAGTAATACAACACCCATCGAACTTGATCCGTTGTGAGCCCTCGGAGATTCAGACACTCGGGCAATGATCGGAACGGCTGGCTGAGCATTCATGCCACCCGACGGATACTCGCAGCTTTTGGTTCACTCAGGTAAGACGGCAGCTACACGCTCTGGAGCCACACATACATCCTCTCTCAGTATTTTCTTCGGTCGGAGGTTGCATGTAAGTAGCCATAGTCATTAGGGATGAGTCCCTGGGGTAGTGGTGCAGTAGGCTAACCTTTAAGATGCTGACTCCCGGTTTAATCCCCTCACCGTTACAATAATCCCTAAGGGTGACAATCGCAGTGCGAATCCCACAGTAGCTGAAAAACCTGCCACTTCCTCTCAAAAACCATGGTTGACATATACCGGATATAGTGGGTCGTTTGCGTACCCGAATAAACCTCACCAAACCAACCAAGTAGCCATAGTCGGACACACTCGTTATGTTCGGTCGTCTCGGAAGCAATCGATCAACGCACACACGTCCTTGCCGGGACGTTGCCGCCGGCAAAGGTCTTTGCACGTATTGTATGAGAAGTGCAACTTATCGAGTACACGCGCGACGAAGTTAATGGCATCCGTTCATTGTAGTCACGTTACGATCGGATAGCAACGACAGTTGCATGACATCGTTCTCTCCTGATCGTTTTGGAGACAGCATCTCAGACAGCCGCCGACCTTGTTCTTTCTTGTCTGACCTTTTTGCCAAGAACCAAACTTCCTAAACGTCTCTTGAACGACTTCGTCGTGCCAAGAAACACCTGACCGGCCTCTTGGTCATGAGCGGTTCTGTCAACATCGACTGTCGTCGTTGGCGATCTAAGGGCCATCTAGCATCGCCTGAAGCGACAGATGTGTGGATCCGTCGTCGTCGGAAATGACAGCCTCTACTGCAGGATTCTCGGTACCAATGGCATCCACTCGCCGTACTCGGTGTCGGCAACATGACGAACCAAGTGACGTTGTTGCCGGTGCGTCACCTGACCCCACGCCGAATCTCGACTTGCTGAAACGCTGAAAACACTGGATGAAGAACAAGGCCTGAGAGAAATCTGGACACTGTCAGTGTTGCTCTCCGCACACTGTCAAAGCAACTTGTCCCCTGTTCATTTTAGACACTGCCTTCTAGTGGTCGTTTAAGAGGAGAGGAGTTGCATGCAACGGGGCACTGGTGACTACGTACTGGTTGACCAGTACGGAGTTCACTTCCACTGACAACAGTGATAGTCAGTGCCCTGCTAAGTGTTGCACCAACACAGAGGACGGAAAGGAGACTAGTGAACTCGCTAGTCTTTGGTAAAAGTAAAACTGTTAAATAATACAATTATGTCCTATCAATCTTATGTCTCTGTTTATCCTGAATTAATCATATTAATCTAACAACGTATAATGACGTCTACTCACTACCCATTGCGCGCATCTATCAGCTATAGGTGGGTTGATATCATCACGATATCAACCAATGAGTAGACCCTTCGGTCATCTTGAACAATATCATCATGCTCTGTGATATTGTTGAAAGAATATTCAACGTAATATTCTATATTGTGATAGTATCCTTAGTGACAATATCATGTAACGGGCTACCCCGTTACATTGCACATTTCCGCCGCCAGCTCCTGACGCGTAGCTCCCGCCATTCGGGTGGATTGCGACCGCAGTTCAGAGTGAATTTTCATACGTCTAAACTCACGTGGTAGACTATGTGAGAGCCCCGTGCAATCAACTTGACGACACGACCGACGACGATGTGATGCAAACAGCTTCTTGTCCCCCACCGATCACAACACGCGATTCAATCGTCAAATGCGCTGCCAGGTCCACAAACCAGTACACCTCCCGCAAATTGAGCACCTTCATCATCTCAATATCCAGCAGCAGACCTTGTCGCGAGTATATTGAACTTGTCCGACATCATCACGTTTTTGGTACAAGCCACGCAGATGAGGTGGCCTTCAAACTGTAACGGGGGCACACGTCGACTGGTAGTCGACAATAGGTGTGGTGCACACGAGGGATGTGATCCCCCTTAAAGTGATATTAGAACACAGTATCAATTGTTGAAGACTGGTGTCTGTCAACCATTGATTACGAGATCTTTTGAGAGGTTTATTTAGGACATTAGCGAGTAGATCAATTACGTTGTTCCAAGGCGTTCTTTTAGGTTAAAAGAAGAAATAAAGTCCAGTTCCCATTTTGATACGATAGACACGTGCCTCTTTGAGGCGTCTTGTGATCTTTTGGGGAGGTAGCGACGCCTTGATAAGGCAGCTACTCCTTGTGCACTCTGTGCGTTGATTCTCTGAATCGTTTGGTCCCCCTGGAACAGGGACCGCAAGATCTCTGAGCTTGTTGACTCTTTGAGTCGAGTTTTTTGAACCAAACCTTAGCTCTCTGAGCTGTTGACTCTTTGAGTCGGGTTCACTGAACCACAAGTTGCTCGTTGAGCGTTAAAGTATTTCTCTGACTTAAGGAGCTGTGTATCTCCGCTACAGTTGATAGCACTTATAGTCGATCTACGCCTGATTCGTTACGACTGATCGTCTGTGAGAGTGGAGCAATACACACTCTTCTCTGAGGCCCAAAAGTTCGCGCTTGATAAGCTGACTGCAGCCGTAGGCCCAGAGTTTATGTCGTTTCTAGCTGCACAAAGTCCCGATGTGCTCAATGCACGAGTCTAGACCTTCATGCAGAATGAAACGGCCCTGTTATGGCAGATTAAAAGTTCAGGTAGCGTCGGCTATGCCGCCACCCTACGGGGCAATGCCAGATGAAGAGGCTAAGTCTCGTCCCCTTCGGATGGACACTAAACATTACTCCGGGAAGGAGGGGGAAATCTCACCCTCTGGATCCGTGAGATTGTGTCATGAGCCCTGGC